CGCCTTAAAACGTCACCGTGATTCGGGTGAAACGGCGATTAGTGATTTGTGATGATTAAGGATCTTTACGTTTCTTTGTTTCTTCCTGTTCAGTTTCTGGAGATCATTTTTAGGAGAAGAAGAAAAGCGTGGTCAATTCGGGCTTCGCCATCTTGCTGTTTCCTGATTTTCTTGATTTTCCTGATTCACTCGATTTTCTTCATTTTCCTATTTTTCAACTTCTTGGTTAGTCCGATTTTATACATTTTTTAAATATTTTTGCTTAAGGTTCATTTGAGTCTCTTGATTTTCTTGACCCTTAAGGCTCGCTCTCGAGGACTTTCAGTCGGCGAAGGATTTAGATCGCCTCGTGTAAATTAGGCTTAGGATGTGTACGTGCTAATTCCGAGCCATATACTTTACGAGGCAATCGCGGACTGCGTAGGCCGAGAGAGGTTAGGTTTTATTTCCCTTGGTTCTTAGACGAGATTTCCGAGCCGAGGTCGGAGCCGTTCCTCTTCTTTAGCCCTCGAAGAAGAGAACCAGGGAACAGTAAGCCTCTAACGGTTTCACCCAGTTTCGATATTTATTTCCCGGCACATCGCCGACCGCTTTGTCCATCGACGCCGATCGCAATGGCCGCCGGTAAAAACGTGGGATTGTCATCCGCCGGCCAAATTTATGCAAAGTCCCTTCGAAAGGCGACCAGAGATAAAAAGTACCGTACTAAGCCTCGTAAATAGCCCCTACTAGTCTAAACGCCGATTTCTTTCGGGAATGTTTTGCGTCAAACCTCGATAATAATTAATCTACCTACGGAGGATGTTGCTTGTGTCAGGAAGACAAAATGGTGGCGGCGAGGGGGCCAATCGTGAATTTTCGACGATTCATCAAGAAGAAATTCCTGGACTCAGCTCCGATATTTATCACCCAGCAATCCGACCGAGATCGATCGCAGTCGCCGCCATTTTGTGTCGGCGAGAACCGCGGGATTTAAAAAAGTTGAAAATATTATGCAAGGTCCCTTCGAGAGGAGACGATAGACGGTACCGTAGTAAGCCATGTAAATAGACTGTGCGTGCTTGAAAGACATCTTTTCAACATTTATTTAATGTCCACTGAGTCAGGAAAAGCAAAATGGCGGCAGATAGATCAAAGGTGGAGGAAATGTTTTCCAGGAAGGAATTGTTTACCTTCGAGATGGGGAATTTTCAAGCTCGCGAGAACTTTCGAGCGATTGGTCGTTTCAGAGAAGAGACTTCTAAACCCAGTTCTGAGATTTATTTCCCGCCTTGAGGTCCATTCGACCGCTTTTTGCGGGAAAAATGGACAATCGCGAACGCTCTCCATTCTTATCGTCTTCCCCGTCCTTATCGTCCTTACCGTCTTTCCCGTCACTATCGTCCTTACCATTCTTATCTTCCTTATCGTAAAATCCCGGAATAGGTTTAGGATGACACCTTTCCCGGGGTATTCCCGACTTTTTCCACCTCGTGGAGATTTATGCAAATTCCTCGCGTCGGAGAGAAAGGAAAGACTGCCCCGTGGCAGCCATTGACGTATTGTCGGCCTGAAATGAGTCCGTTCCATATTTTCTGGGGAAAAATGGCAAAGTGGCAATACCGCTACAGTAAGTGGCCCGCGAGTCTCACTTCGGATATGTTTTATGTCAACTGTAAAATGTAGCGAAGATGATGAATCGTCTAAGAGATCGGCACCGTTTCACGCTTCACGAAACGCGTCCATCTCTGCGGTTTATTTTATTTCCGAAAATAGGAAAATTATGCGATCACTTGTAACTAGAAAGTAAAGTTCCCAAATCCTTGTAATAATCGCTGGAAATCTTTATTTTTATACTGTATGAAATTTGTTAAATGTCTATGAAAGAAATTTGAAATATCAAAAATTGGAATTCATGTGTGTCAGGACCTTTCTTATATCCTCCATGTTCACGTTGTAAAGTTTGAAAGCGTTCGATGCACCCGGTTTGAAGAAAAAATTTGAAAAAAACAGACCTCTTTAACTCTGGATACTAAGAATACCTAAAGGCGCCCGACGTTTGGTCCAATATTGCCCGCACGGTCAGACGAATTTCGCCCGTATGTCGAAATGGCTCCGTGTTCAAAGGGTTAACGCCCCTTTCACGCCACCTTAATAACTCTCGAGACTTCATCGTAATCTATAATAATTCCTAACGATTCTAAATAATCTCCGATGAATCATTCCTGGATCGTAAATAAATGATTTCCAAAAATCTCGCTCGATCTCAGCCATCAAGGGGACAGGTGCAGACGATGAAATGACAGGATCGGCCGTATAAATCGGCGAGATCGTTAGTGACATTCTCAGGTGTGTGATGTGACGTTTAACTATCTCTGCCCTCACCCTGAGGCCATTCTGGACGAGGAAAGGCGAATCGAGTTCGTGATAATATAGTGGTGCGACGTAGAAATGCAGCTCGTTCGTCTCTATTCGGCCGAGATCTCTGCCGAGATCGCTGATCGATTATTATCGACGAGATTAATCGCAGGGCTGGGCGTTAAGATCTCTCCAGGGAACAATTATTCCTGCTCGAGGACTCGAGATAAGTGTTAATCGGACGAGGTGCATGGGGAAAGATTTCGAAGGCTGGATGATTGAATTAAATCTGTCGAATTATTTTTATTCGGATTTATTTGCCGTGGCTATCCGAGATTTGAGGTTACTCGTGAGAGATATCGACTCCTCTGATATTTAACGTTCAGAGGGATGGACGCTTCGGTGGATCTTGATCGTAAATATCATAAATACTCCGATGATGAAGGCTTCCACTCGGGATCGGCACGATCGGGGTCGACGTTGACGCAATTTCGTTAAACGGATTGCTCGCGACGCTGGTACCACTTTATGGCGTGAGAAACTCGATTCTCGATCGCTGGTCTTATTGGTACAGCGTTGAATATGGATCTGGAAATGTGGAATCCAAAATCAGGCGAAATGGCGTGGCCACCGGTTCTCCAAAATTCTTCGAGTCGCCATTTTGTGGCGAACTTCGTTCCCGATTATCGATCACAATTGCGTCTTTGGAGTCGCCCAAATTGTCCAGAATTTTTCAAGGCGCCGTTTCTGACGAAATTAGGTCCCTGTCGCCGTTCCACCAAATATAAACCCGAATATCCACTATCGGAACTAAAACCAGGCGAAATGGCGTCTTCGTGGTCACCGCGTTCTCCAAAATCCTTCGAATAGCCATTTCTGGTGAACTTTATTCGCAATCGTCGATCTCATCAAGATGTGCATACAGAAATCCAATATAAGATCCAGAATCAGTCTAATTGGCCTCCTCAAGTTCAAGTTCCCCAGATTCCTGCGAGTCGTCACTTCCGGCGAAACTAGTTATCAGTTTTCGATCTCATCAGCGTCGCACCTAATATGGACCCGGAAATCCAGCATCAGATACATGATCCGGAATCCGATGAAGCTGCGTCCCCAAGGTCAGGAGGTTCTCCAGATTTCATCAAGTCGACATTTCCGGCGACCTTTCGCGGCTGCACGGAGTCCCGCTCGCCGTTTCGAATGGCGAGGTGCACTCGCTGTATCTACGGATTTATTGAGGTAGATTAGATCCACGTTTACTGTGACTTCCACGTTGCATACAGATGTTTCGTAGGAGCGCCTTTTGACTGGCCCCAGGGGATCGGCAACCCGAAGTCACCTGATTCCTCGTTCTAACTAGGCACTGCACGTCTCTGGGGATCTAGGGGAAAAGTTCCTCCTTTGACTTCCGCACGACTTCTACACCGAGAAAAAGTATTGCTTGACTGAAACAATTATATATTGTTGTCTGAATCGTACATAACTGTAAGAAACAACTATTTTGTCGGGAAGAAAAATGATATTGTTGATTTAAACGAATTTTGTTTACTCTTCCTGATATTCCTTCGGATGTATTTGATCGCAGGATTTTCTTGCCGCAATGCATATTTCTTTGAGTCAAACGTTTCTTCCCCTCAGTGTAGGGATAATCTCATGATTGTAAATAGAAACCTCTAGGTATTCGCATTTTTTAATGTTTAATTCCACCTCCCTCGTAGAATAATGACGTAAAATCATTTATAAGCTCAGTTTTCGGAGCTTGCTTCCGAAACAAGATGGCGGCGACGCCTCACTCGAGACCGGCTCTACATTTCCGACAATTAATTACGTTTATACGGAAATAGATCCACATTCGACGTGTCTCCAGTTTCGCGCATAAGTGCTCGTGAGGCATAATTTCTGTCTGTAAACTAGTTTGCCCCGAGTTGTTTGTGGCAACGGTAAATATGTTTATGGCGACGTAAAACATATTTATTGAATCGAACGTCCCGCCCTTGATGTATCTCTCTGACATCTAAGTGCGTTCCACTGAAGCAAAAAGAACGTCGTTAACCGCCCAAGTCTGTCTAACGAAAGCAGAGAGATTTGCGACACCGTGTAGTAATAATTAATGCCATGATCCCTGTCGAATTGTGTGCTTGGAGTTAATTCCAAGTCTCTGGAAAGGGCGGCGAGGGGCGCGCCGCCATCTTTGATTTGCACGGCGCCCGATACAACGCGTTCGATAAAACGTTATAAAATTCTGGAACAAGAACCAACGAAGGCGGATTGATTAAGTCTGGATTATAGTTCCCGGGGATACGAGTTGGGTGTGCTGTTTAACTTCTCGAAGCCGCGACGAGTTTTAATAAGTCTCCGGGATTGCGTACCATTTACACCGTTTACACCGTTTACACCGGCGATTCGGTGTCGCAATTTGCGGGAAACGCCAAGAAACAGTAAATATATTAATGCTGGTAGCGTTTAACGCATTCCCTTTGGCATATATCCGACAGTGAGGCTGTACAGAATTCGCGATAACCATCTCAGGCGCTTGGGAAAACGGTAACATTTGGACGCCATGACTCCACTTCCTTCCGCAAATATTAATATCCAAGTCGTTTGTATTACAAAATTCAACGTTATATGGAGTAATTAATCTAAAGATGCGCGTTTTTCGGTTTCAGGAGGTCCTATTGGCACACAGCAAGGCAACGAGTCTGTGCGAACCCATTACGGTGATCCTTGCAGAAGTGGAAGGCCCAGAATTGGCGGCCATCTTGGGTTTCGTGTATACCGGAAGTGCGACGGTACCAAGGCCAAGATTAGACGCTTTCCTTCGAGCTGCGGAAACTTTACATATCCAGTTACCTCCACTGCCAGGTTTAATGAAGTCCTTTCCCCTGGATTTCAAATCAGAGGATAACGAGGACCTGAAAATCGGCACCAGGTATCTGCGATGCGAGCAGTACCCAACTTATCGAAGCTTCTTAGGAAATTGGTTCCCAGACCAGGAAGGAGTTGCCAAAGGCTACCAGGATCAGGTCGAAGACAAGATAGCGTCTCGCAGGATCTCCACCGAGCCCCTGGAATATGAAAAATTACCGAATCAAGACTTTAAAGCCTTCCAAAGGAGCGCCCTTCCGCGGCAAACCAGTGTTCCGCCATATTTGAAGGACTTTGGACCGCTTGCATTTCCGAAGCACCAAGGGCACGAGGTTAATCCTGGGCAGGAAAAAGGATCTCCCAGGGGACCAGTTATGGGTCCTTGTCCAGACAGGGAGAAGTTAGGAATGGGTCTGGATTACCCTTCTGTCCAACCTGCGTTCGCGTCCTTGGGTCGAGTCTTCGAGGGCTGCCGAAGAAGTAGAAATGGCGTCGATGGTTCTTTAGAGGAGGTCAATGGATGTCCTGAGAACAGGAGGTTGTATTTAGAGAAGGTCGAGGTGTCTTCTAGGAGGGACTTCCTTCCCGACTCGTCGGAGGATCCTGGAACTAGGTCCAGGGACAGGTTCCAAGGTCAGATGCTCCCTCGGGTACAGAATTCGGTTCTGACCCCTAGAGGGGTCGATGATCGACTCGCAAGGTCGATAGTCGAAGGTCCGACCTTGACCGGCTTGGTCCTACCGGAAGTGGAGCATGGCGGGTTCGCCAACAAAATGGCGGACGAGGCCAGAGTGCCGACTCTGGGGTACCAGGTCGAAAGGACGTTTCCCATCTCCTATCCTGCACCTGCGGGGGAGGACCTCAGCTGCAGGGAGAGCTGCTGCAGGTGGAGGTCTCCCAGGAGACAAGTTGCTAACTGCGTCACTGCTTCTCCTTGGAGACAACTGGCTAGGCCACATCATTCCCCAAAAATCCAGCCGATGGTTCTCCAGAATCGGCCGGAGTTCATGGGTCCCATAGTTCACGTAAGTTGGAACCCATATTTTGCCCTAATAATTAATAATTCACGAATAATTAACAACTCACATTTCGTGTTTACCCTGGAAATCAAAAGTACATATAATGGGCGCAGGGTGCGCTCGAATTCGCGAAATTCTACTTTACGCCGCCATCTTGGAAGTGATTCAAAAGTCCCACCCATCGTACATTATACAATCTTACGAGCATTACGGACTGTATTAAAGGATAAATGCTAACACGACATAAGATGCATGCTCATGGAACATTGAATGGGCAATTATCCGCGGAAATTGTGCTTACCCACGCGTTTCTACGAACAAGTAGGTGCCGCCCACGTCTGTAAGGAGCGGAAAAGTTCGAATGTTTTGGGCATAGATGAAACTAGCGGCTTCCTGAGGAGAAATTTCTTTTGACGGTGTTGATTTCGTTCTGTCAAGACATTGAATAAAAATTGAAGATGCCAATGGCATATTTTTTTTTCATGAAGAGTTAAGTGGACTTGTTTGGGCGTTTAACAATGGTACGTCGAGCCTGAGGTTTCGAACTTGAAATCGGAGTTAAACGGGCGTTAAAACGGAAATAAGGTCGTCGGTTGATCTCTGCTCAACCAGTTTTCGAAAGCGATGATGTCGCACATGGCGTACCCTTTTTTTTACTCTCTCTCGGCCGATCGATCCGAAACATAAATCGCATCCTCGCCCACGCGCTGCCTTGTCGTGACTAGAATTTAACATTCCTCTCACGGGTATCAACGAGATGTAGGCAGCTCCCCGGACGAGAGAAGAATAGCCAAGAATGGCAATCCTTCTGCTGATTTCCCTCGATTGAGTCGACGCCTCCCAGGGAAACACTTGGTTTACAAGACGATGTTTTTCTTTTCGCAAAAGTACCTCGGAGAAATGTTACATACACGCTTTGCAAAAATTATACCGGCATTCCCGGGAGGCCGAGGGATTTTTTCCGAATCGAGAGAAAAGGGGTCCCACAAGCTGTTTGCCTCGTTCAAACCGAAGCCTTGTCCCTCGGCAAACTCGAGTGTCCTTGCTGTTAGATATGCGGAAGTTTGAGTAAAATATGCCACCGTCAAGTCAAAGAGAAGCCCCTTGCCTTTTTACAAGGCCCTAACTTGACACTACTTTAGTTGACAACGGAGAAAGTCAACGATGGCTCGCCGAGAGTGCGAGGAAAGTCACTCAAGCCTGATTTCCATACAACACGGGATAAATATTAGGAAAAAATTACATTTCCAGGTAAAATTCGTGGTATACTGTTAGACAATCATTCATTTTCTTATCTGACCCTGTTACAACGTTCCCATGTCGAAACTAGATCGGTAATAATTAATATTTCACTCCCTGGTTAAGCTGCGGAGCAGAGACTTCAACGCCAGCGACTGCACAGGCGAGATCTTTCGCATAAGCCATGTGCTTATTGCCAGATGCAATTCATATATTGTATACCCTTAAAAAATCTTTACTATGATACAGTAACTCTGCTGTAAATTTTCTCTACCGAGATAAAATCAGTAATAATTAATATTTCATACGCAGGTAGGTGCGCACCTCGGAGACTTCAACGCCTGTGGCTGCACAGGCGAGATCTTTGCACGAGCCATGTACCCCCATTGTCAAATAAAATTGATACATTGCTTAAAGTCGTGATTTTATTCAAGTGTTTTGACGTTTGTCTCTAAGGAAAGGACTGTTTATAAAAATTTGGATTTTACCCCAAGATAAAATCTGCGAAATTCGCGCATTAGAGAGCGATTAGAGGTATTGACGCGAGTCTCTCTCGCATAATTCCTGGTTTTTCAATTAGATTGGCACGTACTCGTCGGTACTCGGTACCGAGTAGTGCTTGGCACCTTCACGGGGATTAATTGAGTGGTAGTGCTTTCTTACTCCTTCCCTCCCATCATCTCCAGAATTACAAGTTAGCGTCCCCGTAATGGCGTCCTCTTAGCGGCGCGTTACAAATGGCTCTTTGCAACCGCTTCAGGACTCTTTACCAGAATCTCCGGAGACTACATTCTCTCGTTTTACGAGGACTCGCCTATCCTCCACTTTTCCAAGCCACGCTCATTCCCTTCTAGCCGTTATTTTCCTTATCAGTCGTACCAGGAACTCGAGGCGGGAAGTTCATTATAACTAACAAATGAAGCGCGCTCATTTCGCGTCTTCTCCCTCTTATTTCTCGGTTCAACGTATAAATCAGATCGGTAGAATTAATGAAGTACAGTTTGTCTGGGTCTCAAAGTGCAGGAAAAGCCCGGAGCCATTAACGTTCTCTGCGGACGTCAATAAATAAATTACGATCGCGATACACGACTCCGCGCGGCCGCCATCTTGTCTTCGCTTGGAAGACGCGCTGTATATTGCGTCCCCCGCGTTATTTAAAGCCCCGTGTTTACGCCAGCTCGTTTTTCTATCTTTCTTGTTCCATTTTTCGCGGAAACGAGCCTCGAAGGATGCTCGTGACGTTTTCTCTGTCAACTCCGTGAACCCAGACCGAGGAAACCGGTGCCGACCGGCGTGACACTCGACGCCGACCGAAAATCACTCGTTATTAATTGTCTTACATAAACTTGTTGACTGTTTGCCGCTAATTACGGAAATCTCACTCGTGGTTACGCCACAGAGTGCACCCAAGTAATCGGAGAACGAGTTATAAGGACGTTTCTTCGGTTTCGCAATGGATGCAGCACATGCTGCACCTTGTCAGGTGACTCGATCCCTCAAATGACGTTGATAATGATGTTTACGGTTACTTCCAATCAATGTCGAGCTAATGATCTGCGAGACAAGTGAAATCGACAATGCAGATCTAAAAGATATTACAATTATCACCTGGTAAAAGCCGAATGAATATTTTTTTTATTTAATTGTTCACGATTCGGTGGACGCGTTCCGGTGATTTGTCTTTCCTTAGGTCTTTTATCACCTTGAAAAGAAAAAAAATTCATTGGACTAAGTCAAATAAATTGGATGCAACATTTATTCGCAATTATGAGGATTTATTCGAGGCAAATCATTATTCTTGGTAATTAGCGAAATATTTCTTTGGTTCTATAGGTTGTTTTCACTTAGAGAATTATTTATAGCGTTTCTTTGTTATTTGGGAGCTAGCGAGTTCACGTATTCTTGGAACTCCGTCGTTCTATCTGATCTAACCTAACCTATAAATTAAAGGAGAACGGGAGCGCACCGAAGGTGGTCCACGATCTCTTCGGTGCAATTCGACGTTGACGAGCGCATCGACCGACTTGCGATCCGATACGATCTCGATTATCTCGCTTAATTATTATCGCGGTCAATTCAGAGGAGGTAGGTACTGAGAGTAATCGTAGAAGTGTACGTTTGTCAGCGGAATTTCGCACGGAGTTAATCCAGACAGGGCTGACGGTAAGAACAGGTTGTTCGGTCGAAGACGGCGGCCATTTTGCTGCTAGGTGCACTTTACGAGCCCTGTTACAGCCTCGGTTATATCGACAATCGGGTGAACCTGATCTTTTCAGGGTCGTGATAACGGATCGGCTAGGTTAACTCGTCTAACCGATCGATGCCGATAAGCTTCGAGATTTAGGGAAAACGATTTTCCAATAACGACTTCGGCGCAATGTCCACCGAATTTTCAATGTCCACGATGCAAATACGGGATCTGAACAGGACAATTTCGGAAATTTAATTTTTCGTAGTCAAAGCTCGGAGGATTTTAACTTTAGACAGGATTTGTGGAAAAGATTCGAAGAGACGCGAAGAGCGACATGATTTGGACGTGTGACGTCAACGAAGGCGGAATATTCAATACGGAATCGATGTAACGGTTGTCGCTCCGCTTCTATGGCATTTATCGTTAATATATACGACTGCACACGACGTTTTGGTAGATTCTACAGTTACTCATCGGGAATTAGAACCGAATTCGCGTGTTTTCGCCGCGCGGGCGTCGGCCGCCATCTTGATTCCGCGTTATGCGGAGAACGTAGGCCGAAATAAATTCGGGCGCGTCCGTAGAAAGCCAGGAAAGTCTGAGTTTAAACATAAATCGACTTTTGATACCGATCGCCGATTCTTTTCACGTTTGGCTTGAGCTCTTTTTTCCCTCCAGGTCGCGGGTTTCGCAAAATGGCGGACCTAGGCGCGCCCCGTTGCAGTCTTCGGGCGTCCTCGCTCGGTTTGATGAAAAATGAAGTGATTAACACGAAAATACCCTGAAAATTGTACCGATAATTACGAAAGACGACAGAGGCAACGTTCGAAAGACTTTCTACGGTTAATCGGCACACTAATTTCAACATGGCGAGGGGGAAAGAAACGAGAAAAAGATGGCGTCCACTCGAGGGGAAATAAACCCCAGCTTTCCTCTTCGCGGCGGGTCCGACTAATTCGTCGCTATCTTTTTCCCGGTAATCGCAGAAAATTCATCCTTCAGTGTCTCCTGGAAGATTCATCGAGCAACTACTTCGGCAATAAATCCGCTCAGCGATCGACTTTCTCCAATTAGCGATCCGTGGTCGCCCGATCGAACGCCGATCGCCTTTGTGCCTGGAATTGTCCCGTGAAATTAATTACCTCGTAATTGAGACATCGCGCGATATCGCCGATAGGACTTTCAATTACTGCCGCAATTACATGGAGGAGTACGAGACGCTCTGATTAACCAACGTACGTGGCGTCGGGATGTTAAAATTATCGGTCCCCTCGAAGTTGTCCATTTCTCGACGCGCCATTTTCAAAATAGAACGGATTTCGATATCTTTATTAAGATGACTCCGCTTGAAAAAGAAAAGCTTGAGTAGTGAACGGTTTTGAAAAGGCTGATGATCGGGTTCGAGGCGCGTAATCGAATTTTGCCAATCGATTCCTGGAAACACCATTTTCAGAATGAACTGGATTTCGACATCTTTATCAAGATGACTTCTCTTTGAAAAAAAGGCATGGAAAAGCGAGTGGTTTTGGAATGGATGGCTGATGATTGGGTTCGAGGCGCGTAATCGAGTTTCACCAATCGACATGCCATATATTCCAACCTATTATTGAGCACTGCGCTCGCGTTCCTCATTTACATTACAATGATACGATTTATGTACCGCTGATGTATGGCTTCGACCCTTTACGATTCGACTCTTGGCCAGTTTTCGTAGCGAGGCCTTTCTGACGTTTACGATCGCGGGAATGATATTCCGGAACGTTGTTCAGAATTCCTCATTGGTTTGGAATTCCTGATTAGCGTGGGAATATTCTCCACTTCCCGGTGTCCTTACCTAGTACACCAGATAACTGATAACGTCTTTTATCAAGCCCATAAAATTCTATACGACATATAAGCACTTTCTAAATTTCGACATTCGTCAAAAAGCCCGGAAATGGAGTTTCTATCCATCCCACGTTTAAAAAGGGCGCGTTTTTCGTATCAGCGTCCATTAGTCCTCCGTTTCTACCGCACGACAAGCGCGATAATAAATTAACACTCGCTGCAATCAAGACCTGATAATTAAATTCGAGACCCCGCGGAGTTCGTCGCTCCATCGACGGAGAAACTTTTATCGGCGAGAGGTTTTATTGTCATTTCCATAAGGCAAGAAACGAATTGAATGGCCTGTGCCATTCAATATAATGGAGAAAGTATAACGGGGACGTCGTGGCGGATTTTCTAACGCCAGCAGCCCCGGGGCTTTTTTTGATTTGAGCTCTCCCACATCGCAGGAAAAAAACGGTTCCGGTAAAGAATCTAGGGCTCATTAATTTGGCACGCACTTTATTATGGCTAATTTTTTACAACACCTGGAACATCTGTTGGCAGGACCCCCCAGGGAGGCTGTCGAGCAAGCCAATGGCGGACTTTTCGATGGACTGCCTGCAAAAGGAGGTCTCAACCTCCAGGGAGGACCTTCCAGTCGTTTCGGTGGATGCAGAGGTTCCTGGGTCCACCAGGACGAGAGTTTCCTCCGAGGACGAAGTTTCTAGAAGCAGAGACGAACGACTGGAGGACCTCTACAGAAGCCATGCTGCACTTCCGGCTGTCGGCATTTCCGGAGACGCAGGGTCTAGGTCGCTTTTCGTGTCTTCTTCGAGCACTTCCCTATCGCCTAGGGCGACGAATCCAGGAATCGGTACCTCTGACCAGGAATCGGGCCACTCGGCGACTGGAACTCCAACGAATCTTCCAACGACGGTTAAACCTGGATTCTACCAAACTTTGCCTACTCACGTGACCTCCAAACCGGAAATCTCGCACCCCATCAGCAGGCTCTGCGACACGGTTGCCGAGGTTAAAGAGCCGATTCCATCCCCTGTAAAAAATAACGAAGAGGAGGTCGCGGCTCTGGAGGAGAAGAGTACTTACCTGCGCAGCGACAGCAACAACAATGCCGCGCTCGCCGCCGACCGCGACGCCCCTAGCAGCCGCGCGGCGAACGACGATCACCGATGCGACCAGTGTGGAAAGACCTTTGTCTCCAGAGCTTCCTTGAAGGTAATAATACACGGGAACAAAGAATGATTTAACCTTAAGGTGCTATGAAAGTGTCACGTATATACACCAAAAAGGTCAAAATATTTATAAAACTTTTTTCCAAACTCGGGGCACCGAATAATTTGAAACTTAAATCCGTGATCGCAGACGTCCTAACAAAAGTCTTAAAATTCGCAAAATGTAATATTTTGAAAAAAAAAAATTTATGATTTTCAAGATCTTCATTAGGATCTGCATAATCACGCGTTGACGTTTCAGATTCTTCGGTGCTCTAATTTGAAAGAAGGTTTGACAATTATTTCCACGTCTTGATATGTATAGAATGACCCTTAAAGTCACGCGTTGAGTGGGAGTTATAGGTTAGGGTGTGGGTGCGGAAGCGAGGTTAGGAAGTTCGTTCCCCGAAGCCGCGTTCCCGGTAAGTCTGAATGCGGTTTTCAAACATGTCTGAGGTCTTTTTTCGTGCGTCTAGGTTCACACTCGGACACACTCGGGCGAAAAGCCGTTCCGCTGCGCCGACTGCGGAAAGCAGTTCTCGCAGCTGCGCAACTACAAGTACCACCGCAGCGTCCACGAGGGCACCAGGGAGTTCGCAGCGACGTGTCCGGAATGCGGCAAGTACTTCAACGACCGGGGATACTTGAGTTCCCACATGAAGATCCACCGAAACCGCAAGGAGTACGCATGTGCCGAGTGTGGCAAGAGCTTCAACCAGCGTGTGGCATACAACATGCACGTGCGGATCCACACAGGCGTGAAACCACACCAATGCGAGCAGTGTGGCAAGGCGTTCTCCAGGAAGATGTTGCTGAAGCAACACCTGAGGACCCACTCTGGGGAGCGACCCTACCAGTGCCAAGTCTGCCACAAGGCGTTCGCAGACAGGTCCAACATGACCCTGCACACACGGCTGCATTCTGGGCTCAAACCCTACCAATGCACCCTGTGCTCGAAAGCGTTCACCAAGAAGCACCACCTGAAGACCCACCTCAACTACCACACAGGGACCAAGCCGTACTCCTGCCCAAACTGCGGCCTCAGGTTCTCGCAGAGCAGCAACATGAGGACGCATTACAAGAAGTGTGCACTTAATAACCCCACAGGGGCGAAGCCTGAGAATGGAGATGGTGTTTTTATGCCCAGAGGAACTAAGGAGTTGGAAACCTCGGGCAGGGTCCTGAGGTCGGATGTTGGGGCTCCGTCCGCTGCGCTCACGCCGCCCAACTCGGATCAAGAGTCCAGCGTTAATACTCCTATTTCGAAGGGACTTGTTTTGTGACGAGGTGTGGAGTTAAACTCGTAGGGACGAAGGCTGAAAATGGGGATGGTGTTTTTATGGTAAATGCCCCTGAGTTGGATTCGTCGGGGAGGGTTCTGAGGTCGGATGCTGGGGCTCCGTCCGCTGCGCTGTCGCCGCCCAAGAGCCCAGGGTTAATACTCCTATTTTTAAGGGACTCGTTATGTGACAAGGTGTGGACTTAATACCCCCTAGGGACGAAGGCAGAAAATGGAGATGGTGTTTTTACGACAAAATGGTGTTTTTACGGCTGAGTTGAAAACGTGAGGTCGGATGCTGGGGCTCCGTCCGCTGCACTGTCGCCGCCCAACAGTCCAGCATTAATACTCCTATCTCGAAGGGACGTTTTGTAACGAGATCTAAAGAGTGTGCAACGAGGAGAGATACTATATGAAGACGGTACTAGCAACTGCACTGATGTTGTTCGACTTCAAGTGGCGTTTTTATGCGAGAGGGACCAAGGAATTGGGGATTTCGAGAAGGGTTGAGAAGAGTCTCAGGTTGGACGTTGGAACGCTTGCTGATGCAGGGAAATCTTCGAAGGGGCTCATCTTGTGACGCAGTCTTCGGCATGCGTAATAAAAATTGACGAACATGCGCAGAACGGTGAACGATTTATCTAGTTATGCTTGTACCGTGTGGCGTTTTTTAAGCGCGCCTTCGGGACCGCACGAGCTGTGACTAGATACCCAGTGAAACTGAACTCGATGTGGCTTTGGAGTACGTAGATTTAATATTTAATATATTCAGACCTTAAGAGATTTTAATATATTCTTTCTCGAGTTAAGGGAGCACTTATTAATAAAGGAATTTTTACGTTGCGACGCAAGAATCGCGTCGTTTCGTCAACCATGGAAAATGTTGCAGGTCTTTTGGCGTGGAGTTGCGACGACCTAGAGGTAACACGTAGTGCCATTTTCCCTTTCATGCTTCCGAGCGGATTATTCTTTTTTTTTTTTGTTTCTTCAACGGGCGGCCACGGCAATGCATTATTATCAGCTCCGGATCCGCTCGTATAATAAATTGCTCGCACGTGATGGCTTGTGCCCATCGTGGAAACGGCGAACCGTATCTTTAGAAACGAATCGTGCCTCTCTGGCGATCTCGGATTACGGAAGCGAACCGAGATGGGCACCCGGCACGGAAAAACAATTCGTTCGAAACGGGCAAGGGGAATTAACTTTTGTTGGAGTAATCAGCCGACACCTTCGGGGAGAGGTCGTATCTCCGCTTCCATTATTACCTCGACCTGAATCGTAAAAAAAGAAAATAAATACCCGCTGTCGCTGAAATTTCGGGGCAGCACGATTACCCGCTGAAGAGAAATCCATCGAACCAAAGAAATATTTCTTTGAGCGATAGGAAAAAAAAAAATTGGATTATTTGAAGAATAATTATTTAGCTCGAATAAAGTCAAATAAATAATCATGATTCCAAAGCAACATTGCTATTTATTCCAGTATATTTGAATGAAATAAATGATATTTGCATTAGTTAAATATTTTATTGCTTCGATGAAATCGTTTTTTCAGGGAAGAACTGCACGAAAAGGCTGTAACATAGTTTTCTGATTTTCAATTTATTATTCGGTTCATTTATTGTCATTAATTTATCAGATGATGTACAGGTTATCAAGCCTTCAAGGCTTCTGTGAGAATAATTTCCTTGATCGTTTCGGGGTTTTTTAAGTGAAATTTCGGAATTTCATCGAGTTTCCCGATAAATGAGGGGAAAATGGGTATTGTCGTTTGAATAAAGGTGAAGAGGACGTTTATGGAGAGGATTCGACTTAAGGGATGAAAATCAGGTTTCGAGGCGTTACGTGGCGCTTTCTAAATCGCCAAAGTGGACTTCTCGCTTAATCGATGCGATCAATCAAATCCGAAATGCCTCGACGTAATCGAAAAGGGGAGGCTACAACGAGCAGTCGATCGCAAACTAGTTTCTACATTTGGATGGTGATCTCTTTAGGGAGTCATTTCGAGTGATCGAAGTCTTGCTTAATTATCTCAACGGCACGTCACTAACAACAAATTCCAATTTCTATTTTAGTAAATTAATTTCCAAGCAACTTCGCGCGCAGTTCGCTCCGATTTTTAAAATTCCGAAATCTTGCTTAATTATCTCAACGACACGTCACTAACAACAAATTCCAGTTTCAATTTTAGTAAATTAATTTCCATGCAACTTCGCGCGCAGTTATGTCCGATTTTATAAATTCCGATGTCTTGCTTAATTATCTTGACGACACGTCACTGACAACAAACTCTAGTTCCTATTGTAGTAAATTAATTTCCATGCAACTTCGCTCGAAGTTCGCTCCGATTTTTAAAATTCCGTCCGAAGGGAACGGCCGGCGATTAGCATTGTTGCTTTCGAGAAAGTGGCATAAAATTGTGCGTTTCTGATGAAAGGAATAGGAGGGGGAAAAAAAACGAAAAACTCGGTGTGTTACTTCGGTCCGCTTGGAAATAGCAATTTTTTTTATAGTTCCAACTCGCGGACCATAATTTTTCAGCTCAACGATTATTTACGAACCGCTCACGTCCACTCAAATATCGATAACTCCGAGATTACAGGCTCGAGGTGCGAAATTACTAATCTCTTTCCTCTCGAACTCTGCCGATGGTGATTGTCAGTGATTTTCACTTTTTCTCATACTCAGACTGCATAGATTTTATTCGAAACCCATGCCGATTATCAAATGTGTAATTATCCCGGGAATGTATTTACAACGTGGCGATATTACAGGCCGTAAAATTTGCATCGCGGCGATTTAATTTCGCGGCTTTCCTTGTAATTCCCTTGTAATTTTGCCGGTTACATGAGCATTGTAAAACTGGGGCACGGTATCGTCACGTGGAAGTCGGAATAGAATCGGTAGAAATCGATAGAAACCGACTTTCAAGAAAATGGTGCGAGAAGGCTTCTTCTTCCGCGCGGTACCAAAATGGCGGCCACGCTTCTAATCGTTACAATCGCTTTTCTCGTTTACGAGGCCGCCTCTTCCTGTCCCCGGGCAAGTATTCGACGTTTCCATTTCCGATCTCTGTATTAAGAAAAAAAAAAAAAAAACAATAAGAAATCGACATTGTAGTCGCTAATGAACTAATCGACGCAGACGCTCCACCGCGTCGGTAAAGACGCGACGCGCGCAAAGAGTGTCATGATTTGCACATTTATCGGTAATTATGCAAGTATGTGAGCCATGTCCTCGTTCGTTCCTGCCGTGTATACGCGATTACACGATTACACGCGCGCCTTAATGCGAGTCCAATCGCGGGATCTGGGAGATCGATGGTGATCGATCGATCGTGCATCTTCCTCGGATCTCGACTCTCTCCGCGAGTAGATCCGTTCCTAACGGATAGTTTCGAGAGTCGTTTAGCGTTATTGCAGTTTAACATTTTTATAACATTGTGTCCGTAACATCAGACGCGTCGAATCGAAGATTTAATATGGGAGAAGATTTCGAGCACAACGCAAGATGGCGGCGCTTTTCGGGTGACTCGGCGTCGCGTTGAGGAGCAAAACTCGGACGTAGGATCGAAAAAGTCTAATTAGTCGACCAGCTCTCGAAAGCACCTCGAGGTGTCCCCGTAATTTATGCAATCGAGGAAACGGGACGATTATGTCGGGCTCTTTCTATCAGTAATCCGATGAAAGTGAATCGAAGCAGCGGGATCTTGCGTAAGGAGAACTCGTTCTCGTTTTCTCGGCGTGCCCATTAAAAATCATCCAACTGGACCGAGCCGATCGCATTGACGTCTCCATTGACGAATGCGTGGTAATAAAAATTGAAACGTGACGGATAAAAAATCGCCACGGTAGAAGTGAAGACGGGAAATAAAAATGGCGAAGGGACGCTGGCTCGGCGTATTTTTTTTTTCTTTCCTCCGTCGCGGTTAATATTAACATTTCCGTGAATTTATGCTCGAGCCTCTGAGTCTCCTTTTTTATTATTCTCCTTCGTCTCGGCGATTATTAAACGATCGCGTCGGTACTGAGTCAGCAACGAAGTAAAAAAAGGAAATTGACAAAAAAGACGCCGACGAGATTTCACACTATAACGTGACTCGATTTAACAACTCGGGACACCGTGCAAAAAATTCCCAAAGAAGTCGCGTTTTACCGTAAAAATGTTTACTAATTCGAGCTAAACGAGAGTATCACGGTAAACATTATGAGACTACGTGCCCTAAAGAGGGAAACGTTTTTTTACTCTCGCACAAAAACTGGCCAACAATTATCGAGTTACATGAAAATCGCTTACCAGTTTGATAAACAATTCGCGCAAACAAATTAATTATCGGCGAGAACCGCTAGAAAAAGTGTCCCGTTTACATAGACCTCGTTTTAGCGATAAATATCGTTCACTTAATTTTTTTCTCGTCTCATATATATATTTATAAATATTTTAATAATCTTAATCTCTTGCACCGTCGTCGTAATTACACGATGAATATAACCGTTATTACACATGCTCAGCAAATTGCGCTTCCTAGGGAAAAAGAAGATATGTCGCTGTTATCACTATAATCGCAAGGGTGGAATTAACTCTTAAACGGAGATTCGGTAATTTTTCCCCAATGTCATCATATCATAAATCTGCACTTTGCATAAATAAACTGGTATTTTTGCATATTCTTATGCAGGCAGTTACGATTAATAATAGGATGAATAAAAAACTATGAATCTGTTTTTTGAAGAGGGACATTTATATTTTTTGCGTTGTATTATGATAAGGTAAAGTTGAAACAAAATGGCCCAATTTACGTTTAAGTTAAGTCGAGAGGTTCTTCATGGGGTTCATTATCTTTCGAATCGTCGATAATTTACGTGCAAACTCAACTCGAAACGCTGCATAATGAGTCTGGGATGATATAACGCCGATTCTATATAGATCGCCGTGATTACGAGTCTGGGTTGCATAATTTCTGAGGCTTTCCTATCAGAGTCTTTTAACTTTAAGACATAAGCCTTTCCCACAGCTTCAAATGGACATCGTGAATAAAGCCGGTCGTGCGAGCGCAATTAGGCTAAATCCCAAACGGGAAATAATCCTCGGTTATGTCCGAGATAATGTACTCCTTCGTGATAGGGCGGAACAGAAGATGAATAAAAAACAATAATGAAGGGGGAAAAAAAGTAGCGATAGAAATATATACTGAGATTCATTTCGATATTTCATACGGGCTCAATTACGATATAATAATACCAGATAATATCCTCCTTTGTGATGAGTCCAAGTTGGAGATAATAAAAATTTGCGAAGACATTTGAAATTCTGGCGCGCGATTTCCCAACCTCATGAAATCTCCTTAACGAGTTCGGAAAGGGAAATTTACGCCCCTTGCAATTAAGCTTGCTCTCGTTAACTTAATTTACGACACCGTTATTTCGGCCTCTATACAGACCCGGGTTATGATATTAATAAAATCCGAAGAGCGGCATTTTGTGTGCGAATTGTGCAACAGCTTCGCAATCTCTACCCTCGATGGCGCGTCTTCAATCTCGGGTGGTTTTTTGCACAGCCGTAATGGTCCTTTATGCAAATGCGTAAAACTTTACCACTCATTAGCCTTTATGTTCCTTTGTCCGAGTTGCGCAACCGCGGGGCAAGAGTTCCGTGTTTTAACGTCGAATCGACGGTCTGTACGCATAAATCATGGTTATAAGTAAATGCACTCCCTTGCATTCTATATGCGGACAAAATAGCAGGGATAACGAGGAAGAAAGAGCAGATAAAGGGACTGACTCGAAAAATTGCCAAGAAAAATTAAATTTACAGTAACTTCTAATATCAAGAGACGCGGTAGCGTCTCTAACAAGATCATGGCCCTCAACCGCGCGCTGCGT